CCAAGCTTTTTAAATCAGAGTTAATTTGTATAGTTGGGAATTTTTGAGAATTCCAAGGAATTCCCAGAAAACTGGGAATTCAGTTCGCAAGGGTGTTCTTGCCGCAACTTGCCACGGTTAAGATGATTAAATTAACCCATGAAATATAGGCTATTGGACTTGCTAAATCCTCGTTTTTCAAATGGCCTTAGAACAATGATGTTTCACCACTACAGTACTGCATTACAGAATGGTGTGATTATTTTTAATTACTTCGAAATCACTGTGGTTTTGAGTGACCATGCAAAGACCTTTCTTTTGAATTGCAATATTTGCTCAAGCTACTAATTAAAGACCCTGAAACCCAAAAATCATGGAGCAAAAATTATATCTAAAGGCAACTCTAGATCTTCACTGCTGGGTGTTAGTTCCTCCTGTTGTTCCTCAGGCCATAGTGGAGCCTCTCCATGTTATTCTGCACCATTCGCTGTTTCTTCCTCCCTTGGGTGTCGTGAATTGAAAGCCCTGCCTGGTTACATTGGCAAAAGGCCTTCTGAAGCAATTTTTCCGGCTAATGCCTTTGGTTAATTTTATGTTATATTGAAATCACATAATTCGTGTATTGAATTAAGGTTTAAAAATACTCGATCATAGACAAAGTAAATCACTGAGAGTTCCTATGAACAATTTTAAACGTATTTTATCAACAGGTGGGAGATGTGCGTGTCCAGTTTTCCTATGCTGGGCTTAGTGGGAAGCCAGGCTCAGGTTTGGGAGACCCAATGAAGGTATCGTTCTCTTATAACTCCTCTTTTTATAAACATTTGTGCAATAAGTAGCATTAGGCGAACGTAATTCAGCTTATCTTATCTTATCCCTGTCAGAGCTAAATCCTAATTGCATCTCACCTTGTACTACAATTTTTTCACAATTCCTCTTGTTTGTGTTGATGCTGACATTTTATAAACAGTTGTATCTTTGTTTGAATGACTTATCAGTTAGTGTTATTTCTCCACAGGTCAGTATTGTAGCTCGACAGCAAGATGGAAGATTATCACATTATCACTCAAGATCTGGCAATTCGTTGGAGCTCCTTTATCCTGGAGAAATGAGTGCTGAGGTGAGTCAACAGCATGGAATTTTTCTTATGTCCAGAGGATTCCCTTTATTTGAGTATATTCTTGTTTCTCTTCAGCCTAAAACTGGACAATAGCGAAATATTACCTGAACACTCAACATGATAGCGAAATCATAATTTGTACCTTTAAACGAGAAGACTTGCTTTCCTGTTCCTTTCCCTTGAGAA